CCAATCTCCCTCTCACAAGTAGGTCACATCAAAGACCTTGCTCACCCCCTTGGGTCACATAGTGTCACAGACAACACGAAGGTATAACCAGAGAGGAACAAACACCACACAGACAGAGAGGAGATAAGGACGATTAATGTTGGAGAGGAAAGAAGAAGCAAACTACACCAGAGCACCTGCCAATCACACCCCGGCAAATAAATAAATAAATAAATAAACAAACAAACAAATGAATAAATGAATACATAAATAAATACATACATACATAAATACTTGAATACACAAATCAATCAATCAATCAACCAATCAATCAATCAACTCCATTTGCACATACTACACGGCATTACCTTGACTGACGTCTTCCTCTCTGACCCCCCCCATCAGGTATCCTCCCGATGGCAAAGTGACCACGTGATGTCGGCGGAAGAGATGGTCATTCTCAAGACGCTACAGCTGACCCTGTCAGGTAAGGCGCTGTCGGTGACGTCATCCATCCTCTTAACCCTCTCCGTACGCCCTGGGGGCATTTTGTACCCCCGGGCTTGTATTCTTCACATTTTAGAATACTTCTAGTACGAAGATCTCTTTGAAACTTTCAGTATTTCTCAAAGCATCCTTTTGACAGACTGTTGTGCAAAGCGTAGGGATCGGAGTAAATTTCCTTTTTGGAAAGTGGTGGCACAGCGTTCCCTACGTCATATGGATCGATAATAAAACACGACGTACAGATAGGGTTAAGTGGTGGCACAGAGTTCCCCACGTCGTATGGATACTATAGTAAAACACGACGTACGGATAGGGTTAAGTCTGGCGGGGTATCATTTAAGTACGCCTGGGTACCATTTAACCATCTTAGTCTGTCTGGGTACCATTTAAATCCGTTTAGGTACCGTCTGGGTACCATTGAAACCCTTCAGATACTTTTACCATTTCACCATCTTAGTCTGTCTGGGTACCATTTAAATCCGTTTAGGTACCGTCAGGGTAACATTTAAACCCTTTAGATACTTTTACCATTTCACCATCTTAGTCTGTCTGGGTAACATTGAAACCCTTTAGATACTTTTACCATTTCACCATCTCAGTCTGTCTGGGTAACATTGAAACCCTTTAGATACTTTTACCATTTCACCATCTTAGTCTGTCTGGGTACTCTTATACAAAGGACAAAAAGACTTAGTTTCACAAACAGTCCACCCAGGTCCGTGTGGGTACTTTTACTCCAAGGACAAACAAAAACTCATTTGTCTTGTGTCGTTCTTATCAGAATAGATGACAAGCAAAGGAATTGTACGCCTTGACCACAGCGTTATACTTCATTTTGGTGATGTTGAAAGGGGTTGTACGCCTTGACCACAGCGTTATACTTCATTTTGGTGATGTTGAAAGGGGTTGTACGCCTTGACCACAGCGTTATACTTCATTTTGGTGATGTTGAAAGGGGTTGTACGCCTTGACCACAGCGTTATACTTCATTTTGGTGATGTTGAAAGGGGTTGTACGCCTTGACCACAGCGTTATACTTCATTTTGGTGATGTTGAAAGGGGTTGTACGCCTTGACCACAGCGTTATACTTCATTTTGGTGATGTTGAAAGGGGTTGTACGCCTTGACCACAGCGTTATACTTCATTTTGGTGATGTTGAAAGGGGCATCTTTGGTAGAGGTTTGGGAGGGAGAAAAATGGAAAGTTTTCCAACTTTTCTTGCGACAGCGATGATGTGGTGTCGATAGACTTGTGGTTAGGCAACTGTGTTTGTTATCCTGAGGTTGCAGGGTCGGGGGTTCGAGTCGCGGGCCTGACGTTGTGTCCTTGGGAAAGGCACTTTACACGAATGTTCCTCACTTCACCTAGGAGGGAATGGGTACCCGGTCATAGACAACGGAATATATTGTCAGTATGATGGTAGTGTTTAAGAGCCTGTAAAATGTCTCGCCCTGCATTTGTCCCTGGAAGTTGAGGTTGTGCCAGAACGTTATCAGGTCTGCTGGGATAACACAATAGATTGTGCCAGAACGTTATCAGGTCTGCTGGGATAACACAATAGATTGTGCCAGAACGTTATCAGGTCTGCTGGGATAACATGATAGATTGTGGCAGAACGCTATCAGGTCTGCTGGGGTAACATAATAGATTGTGCAGCGCATAAAGCTTGCTGTGGGGTGAAGAAGAAGATTGAGCGAGGGTCACTTGGAAGAACAAAAAACCAGGTGCCATCGCCTGTCTCAGTTTTTGACACTGGGTGGAAAGAAAATGTCCCAGGAAAAAAAACGAAAACGTTTGACAAATTTTAATGTTCTCCTTTTTTGCTCCTGTCCAGACCGCTGCCAGGTGAGTGACCCCAAGCCCATAGAAGACATCCAGAACCTTCTGATGTGCTGCCTGGAGCACCTGATGAGGCGGAACCACCGCGGGGAGGACCACTCGCCTCTCATCGGACACGCCCTCAACAGACTGACCACAGTCCGGCCCTTGAGCCACCTGGAGTACGCCAACATTGCCAAAAACAAACTGCTGAAGGAGTTCTACACCAAGCGGCCGCTCATCAAGGAAGTCTTAGATTTTGACACAGATGTTTAGGAAACGAAAATCATGGACTTTGACAAAGATGTTTTGTTTTTTAAAAGGTCAGAATTTGACAAAGATATTTTGTCCAAAAAGTCATAAAGTTTGGCAAAGATAATTTGTCAAAAAATCATAGACTTTGAGACAGATCTTTTCTGTAGTCGAAAAAGCCATGGATTTTGACAAAGATCTGTAGTCAAGAAAGTGATAGACTTTGCCACAGTTATTTTGTCCAAAATGTCCTAGATTTTGACACAAACATTTTGTCAAAAAATTCATAGATTTTGACACAGTTATTTATTCAAGGAGGTCATGGCCATTGACATCTTCAGCTGTCCGTTGTTGTCAGAGATGACTGAAGCAAAGTGTACGTCACAGCTCTGTGTGCGTGGTAGGCATAGAGGAAGTGGATTGTACAAGTTCTACTTCCATTCCTTTAGATCTTCACTTCCTTGGTATGTACACATGAGAGGCACTGTCGATATGTTTGGGATATCATGCTACACAAGAGAGACATTGTCGATATGTTTGGGATATCATGCTACACAAGAGAGACACTGTCGATATGTTTGGAATATCATGCTACACAAGAGAGACATTGTCGATATGTTTGGGATATCATGCTACACAAGAGAGACACTGTCGATATGTTTGGAATATCATGCTACACAAGAGAGACATTGTCGATATGTTTGGGATATCA